TCTCTCCAATAGCTCGGAGCAAACAGCGGTGTGCATATCATCATTTTTGATGAGATTGATGCAATCTGCAAGCAGAGAGGAAGCATGGCAGGCAGCACTGGAGTCCATGATACTGTTGTAAACCAGTTGCTGTCTAAAATTGATGGAGTAGAGCAGCTCAATAACATCCTGGTGATTGGTATGACGGTGCTTACTTTTTCTGTTATGGGATCTGATTGAAAAATGCTGATATTTTCCTCATTGCAGGGCAGCTGGGTTATCATTGCTGGTATTGGAGCTGTTTGGACTAACCCAGACCGAGTGATCGCTCTTTGATAAGCATCAGTAGCAGATTTAAAGCAAGATGGTGCTGTAATGGGCTGATATTGCTGCGTTCAATGATTTCCTTCTTTAGCTTTAGATGACAAGTGTTTCATAGTTTAAGCAAACTTGCAAGGAATGATACGCATTGATGTATCGGTGTATGAAGGAGTGGGGCTTCTCCAGCTGTGTTGTCTGGTTGTCCTGATGCCAGGAGCCCTGCAGATACAGGCACAAGTGCAGGTTTGATCCCTGTTGCCCAGACTCTACTTCAGGGCACGACTCTTCCAATATTCCTGAAGATGGCTGTCTTTTGCCTGTTCGCTCGAGACTCTTTGAGGCATCCTCTTAGCTCAGTGGGCTGTATTCAGGAGTTGGACAGGAGCTGGAGACCCACTGAGTAAGCTCAGATAATGCTTGTTTTGTTTTTAACTTTGAATTTAGGCATGACCAACAGGCCGGACCTGATTGATGAGGCTCTGCTGAGACCGGGGAGACTGGAGGTGAAAATGGAGATTGGTAAGCAACCTGGCATATTGCAGTGCATAAGCTCACATGTATTGACAATCATAAAGCAATTATATATCCTAATGTGGACAATTAACCAGGATGGCATAGGTGCTAAACTTCATGCAGCTCCCTCCATAATATTACATGTAAATTTAATGAGCCAATTAAAGTACTTGCTGATAAGCCATTGACCCGATATCAGTTTCTGTCCAGCAGAAGGGGTAAGTGTGGGCAGGCAGGACCCTCTCGCGTGAATGAAAGGAGCCAAGTGATGGCACCAGACCGTTCTTAGGTGGAAATGGTGGAAGTCTTGAACTCGTAGAGCAGGCAGGAACAGTGTGTGAGTGATTCTTGACTTGGAGGAAGTGCAGATCATTTTATTTGCATGAAGTGATAGCAGAGACTTTCACTGCAGGAACTGCAAATGTTGAACAGCATTGGCTCTTGGCTTCTGAAATCAGCAGGTCTGGGTTATTTGCATCAACAGAACTAAAAGTGAGCCGGAGAGCTCTGTTAGCTATTTATTCTAGTGAGCTGGAAAAGAACTGTCAGTAGCTTAAAAGGGTCTTTGTAATGGTACACATCTGCCTGACACCGATGCAGATTAAATAATGGAACAGCTGGTAATGTAGGATTTATTAAGAAATTAAGCCCAGATCATCTTAGATTCATGAAAATAAGTCTCTGACTTTGCATTTGAGATCAGAAGTTTGATCAGTAAAGATCATGGTGGAGTCTAAAGGGTGACTAGACTGTGGTGCTCAGTTCTAAGCTTAACAGTTCACAGAAGAAAGTTTAAATAGAGAATAGCCTGGGACTGATTAAAAGCTTAATGATCCTGTCTTGCATCGAGAAACTGAAATTGGTTGAGATCTGTGTTTAATTTAGAGATTGAAAATGCAGTTTTGGATGTGTAGCTTGGAAGAGCGCATTAAATATTTTCCACTAACCTTCCACAGATGTACAAATGTCACAAAATATTTTCTCTGTGTTCTGAGTTAGGCACCAACTGTCGTAAAAGTAAAAATTCTCAACTGTAGTGAGTCACAAAAAGGAACAGGCAAGGCTGTGAATATTAATATGTTTTGTTTCCTTCCAGTTGCAGAAAATAAGATGAAAATGCCCATTATAACCCTAAAAATCCTATGATACTGTACTAGAGTGGCAGGCAAAATTGTAGTTGTCTATGCTGGTTTGAACTGTGAAGAAGCTCTTGAAATCTTATCTATCAATGTAATCTAAAGAGCTTGCTGGGGATTTTTTCCATTATCTTTAAAGGGTA